GAGGGCAGTGTCACTGGCCCTCATATGTGGGATCCGAACCGGGGCCCTCTGGCGTCCCAAGCCAGCTCTTAACCAACGTGCCACTCGGCCGGCCCAAGCTTTTAATTTTTAAATATTTGATTACACGTTAAAATACTATTTTGGCTACTTTAGGTTAAATGAAGTATTATTAAAATCAATTCGATCTAGTTTACTTTAGAATTCAGGGGCACGTCCAGCTCAGTCTGCATCCCTCTGGACGGCACAGCCCGGGCCGTGCCGCCTGCCGTGCCATCGGGATCTCGGCATCTCAGCCCACAGGCCGCCCTGGCTCCCAGCTCGCCTTGTCGTTCCTGGACTAGCCCGCGGGTCCCCACCTTCTTCAGCCCCGATCTGCCTCCTGTCCTCTGGCTTCACGTTGCTTCGCCGTAATCCCTCCCGCCCTCCTCGCCATCCCTTCCACACCCATCTGCATGGCAGCTGTGGAAAAATGGACCACCCAAGGGGTCTCTCACACGCGTGACCGTCAGCCCGAGTCCGCACCCCTGGCCCTCAAGGCTCCTCCTGCTCCTTTCCAATGTTGACCTTTTGGCAGAGGAAGTACAATCAAAGGGACCTCGCCCCCTCCCGCAGCAGGCCCCAGCACCCCCACCCAGCTCCGCCAGGCTCCCCGAGCCCATCCCAGCAGGCCTTCCCGACTTCCTGCCTCTGCAGCTGCTGCCCTCCCCACCCACACCGCTCTGCCCACCCGCTCCTTCCTTTATCTGGAAGCCTCGCCTTTCTCTCTGGCTCGTGTGATTCCTCGCCACCCTCGCTCCATCGCTCTGAGACCCTGTCCTGGTGTCACCCGTGCTGGCCACTCGGCTCCGGGCCCCTCCTCACTGCCCCCCGCTCCAGGCTCAGTCCCCCGGCCAGTCTGGCTGCACCCACGCTCCTGGGAGCTGTGTCAGTTCCCTTTGCTGCTGTCACAAGTCACCGCAAACTTAGAGGGTTAAAGAACATTCGTTGTCATATGGTTCTGGGGACCACAATCCAGGGGTCGGCAGCCCCGACAGTGGGCTGCGACCTCTGACCTCTGACCTGCCTCCCACCAGGACGCTGGTGCTGCCCTTGGCTCCACCTTCCCCCTTTAAGGCTTTAATGTCATCACATCTGCAAAGTCCCTTCTGGCACGCAAGGGACCACCGTGTAGGATGTGGGCGTCTCTGGGGCCATCAGTCAGCTGCCCAGGCAGCTCGTCCTGCCCATGGCTGCGGTGGCACTGTCCCTCTGCACACGTCTCGCTGGCCCTTGGCCTTCCAGGTGTCCCCACTCTGATGGCGCTGGGCGTCCTGGACAAATCCAGCCCGGCTCTCCCGACAGCTCGGGAAACGGCCCAGGCCCGTGGTCCCCGCTCCACACCACGCAGCCTGGCTGCTCAGTCGGACCTTCTCCCTGCAGAACGTCACTAGCTCATGTCTGGCTTTGGGAAGGGCTGGTCTGAGGGAGAGGAAGAGGGGTGACAGAGTGTGTCTGCCCTGGGGCTGAGGCTGGGAGATGGGGGTCGCGGCCTCCTCCTATGTCCCTCTGTCCCCCATTCCCTCAGAGGGCATCCTGGCTTTCCTGAAGAACAGCAAACCGGGAGACGCGCTGTGCGTGCTGGGCCTGACGCTGTCCGACCTGTACCCCTGCGAGGCCTGGAGCTTCACCTTCAGCACTTTCCTCCCAGGGCACGGTGAGCTGGCGTCCCACCCTGGGCACGGCGAGGGCGTCGAGCCCCATCCTGGGGAACTACGCCCGTGCATGGCAACAGCTGCTCTTGAACTTGCAGCCCCAGTCCAAGCCCCTCAGGCCGGGGCGCTGCCCAGTGGCCACCGTCATGCAGACATGCCGGCAGGGCCGGGCCTTCCTGAGGACGGGTGGCTTTGCCCCTGGGCTCCCTGAGGCCAAGGCTGCCCCTGGAGCCCCTTCTCGCTGCCTCCCCAGAGGTGGGCATCTGCAGCTTTGCCCGGTTCTCGGGGGAGCTCCTAAAGGTGGGGCCCAGCGCCTTGGACCGGGCAGGGGCACAGGTGGCGGCAGACGACCCCGAGACCACCCTGCGGGACAGAGGCGGGACCGTGTACTTCACCACCCTGGGCGTGGTCCAGTGCTGCAAGGTGGGCCTGGAGGCCGGGTGCAGGGGTGCTGCACACAACGGTGGGAGGAGATGGGGGACAGGAAGCGGGGGGAGGGCTGGAGGTGCCGGACAGCTCCAGGAATCAGGCAGGAACACATGAGCGGACAGCCGCTGGGCCCGGTGTCCAGCCACTTATACTGTCTGGTCCTCACAATGAGAACGATCCTTCACGTCAGAGACACCAAGTCCTTTGCCCGAGGTCACAGAGCTGCGAAGTGGCAGGGTTGGGGTTTGAACCCGTGTCTGTCTGCCTTCAAGCTCCACGCCAGGCTGCCTCCGTCCCTGCAGCCCAGAGCTGTCATCGGCACCCTGGCCAGGTGGGGTGGGGACCGGAGGGGCTGCTCTGGGTGGTAGGGGTCAAGGCCGCAGGGACAGTGGGGCCGTCTTCCTCAGGTAACGTGCCACGAGCTCTGCCACCTGCTGGGCCTGGGGAGCTGCCGCTGGCTGCGCTGCCTCATGCAGGGGGCGCTCAGCCTGGACGAGGCCCTGCGACGGCCCCTGGACCTGTGTCCCATCTGCCTGAGGAAGCTGCAGCACGTCCTGGGCTTCAAGCTGGTGGAGAGGTACAAGGTGAGCTTGGCTCCTGGCCTGCAGGCGGGCGCTCCAGTGAGTCCGTGGGCACGGACGGGTATAGTTTGTAGACCGGTGTCGGGGGTGGGGTTGCAGAGCCCCAGGTGCTGTGTCGCTGTGTCAGGCTCTCTGGGATTTATGCCAGCAGCATGTTGTGTCTTTAGCCCGGGGCAGGTACCACTGGGGTGCAGGCGGGATGAGAGGCAATGGCTTCTGTTTCCATCAACAAGAGCTAGGTTCACGGAGCGCTGCCCAGTGCAGGCCCCTGTCCCCGGTACTCAGCTCCCACGGGATCTTGTATCGTGAAAGGGCCTTCCTTTCCCGAGGCCCGGCACGCCGCCTTTTCTCTGCATGCTCACTGCCGCCCAGAGGAAGGGCAGGCCCCTTGGGGAGGAGGCAGAGCCAGACAGAGCGGACCCTAGGGGCAGGTGCTCCCACCTGTGCAGCTCTGCCTGGCCGTGCCAGTGTGGCCATGCTGCCCTCTGCTGGTGGCACGAGGCACCGCGGGCAGCAGTGCCCTCTGGCCCGGGGAAGTAAGTTGGCTGCTCCACTGCGGGTTAAAACCGTATCCTCTGGGAAGATTTGTTTAAAAACTCAGAAACTTTACTCTGAGTTCAGAGTTCAAAGGCAGTTGGTGTTTATCGTTTCTTTAAACCCATCTTTGGATGAAAACACTGAGTTTAAGTTAAAGGCAAAGGCTTATCAACCCAAATAGCTTGGACTTAATTTTAAAACCAAAAATTTTAAGCCAGAAGTTTTAAATGAACCCCATTGTGTTTGAGGTTCTGGAAGTCCATCTCCTCCTCTTGGAGGGGGGCAGCCTGGGTTGAAAAGTGGGGGTTTCGCTGATGGTCCAGGTGCTGGACTCATGGACCCAGGCAGCGACTCTGGGCCGGATGAGGACTTGCATTTCTAACGGGCTCGCAGGTGCTACTCGGGGACCCCACTGTGATACCCTCTGACCTGGGGGGCTGGGCATTTCCAGGTCACCGGCTGCTTCCTTGCGCGGCTCCATGGGGAACAGAATACGAGTGTGGAGGAAGTGGTCTGCCTGTTGGAGAGGGAACCTGGGGCAGCTCAGCTGCAGAGGCGCTAACATCCTCGTGAGGGTGGAATGGGCACGGTTGTCGGTGTCTGGCCAAGGCTGGCTGCTGTCACCAGGGCAGCAGCAGAGGGAAGGGGCTTGTGGACCTCTCGGTGTATGTGAGGTGAACGAGGCCAGCTCGGGTCTGCAGGAAGGGCTGCTTCTCATGTTCTTCCTCGGTCCTGTTCACCCACCTGAAGGGAACGTCCAGGCCTTGCACCACTGCCCTTACACCCCTGAACCCTGACCCAGGGAAGCCCCTGGACCCGTCCTGGAGGGTAGCCCCTCTTTTCCACCCAGAGAACCCCCTGAAATGTTGGGCCCACTCCCTTTTTCCCCAGAAGCATCATCCATGTGACTGGAGGGGCTCTGAGGAGGAAGGGGTGTGCCATCCCTGAGTGGGACAAGGGCACTGTCACAGCCGAGCCCCTCTGAGGAGGCGGAGGCCCGGCAGGGTCCTGGCCTTCCAGGCTGCTGTTGGAGGGGAGCTGCCCCCATGGCCCTCAGAGCCCTGGTCAGTCCTGAGGACTCTGGTAGGTGACACAGCAATGACAGAGGACCTGGCCAGGAAAGGTCTCTGCTGTCTGTTTGCACCAGGCAGCACTGTGCTGGTGACACCTCTAAAGACAAAGCCTTGATTTGTGGAGGATGCCAGTTTCCATGGTGTGACACTGTCACAACAGCCGGTTTCTGGCTGTCACTGAGGGTAGAGAAGTACACAGCACAGCATGGGTGTGTCACCACGCAGGAGAAGCGGGGCCAACCCAGAGCCGCGGTCAGAGTAAAATGCAGTGAAAACGCAGGAAGTGATTGGAGTTTGGGGCATTTATTAGGTTGTCAGAAAAGTCATGACGCATTTTTGCAACGAAAAACATAGAAAAAATACGTCATGGGTTTTCTGACAACCCAGTATTTCCTTTGCTTTCAATGTAATTTTAAAGTTGAACTGTAAGCTCTGTGAAATTTAACTTTGACTGGTGGTCGGGTTGAGCAGCGGGCTCCTGTGAGCTGCTGCGTCTGGTGCATCTCAGAAGGCGCTCGTCAGGACTCTGTGTCACAAGCCTGTCACGTGCCCTGGGTAACTGGGGACAGTGAGGTCCCCTTAGGGTGAGTGAACAGAGAAAACTGCCGGTGTCTCTCTCTCGCAGAGACTGCATGCCTGGACACAAGTCGTGGCGGGGACGCTGCCGGGCCTGGAGGTGGGGGAGCCGTGCGTGTCAGAGGACAGCCCGCCGTGCAGCGCAGACTCGGGCCTGTGCTGTGACAGTGACTCGGAGCCTGGCACCAGCCTGTCAGAGCCCCTCACCCCTGACGCGTGGACCCACGCCTTCTCGGCAGAGCTGGAGCCCGAGGACGGGCTGGACTCCCTGGCGGCCTCGGAGGCCATCGCAGAGCACAGCCGGTGGCTGGCGATGTGCATCCAGGCCCTGGAGAGGGAGGTGACGGAGGAGGAGCTGGTGCAGGTGGACAGAGCCGTGGACGCGCTGGCACGGTGGGAGATGTTCTCAGGGAGGCTCCCGGCTGTGCAGAGGGACCCGGCCTGTGGCAGACACGGCGCAGGGCTGCGCAAGGCGCTGGGGGACAAGCTGTCCTCCCTGAGGAAGAGGCTGAGCATGCGCCCGCTGTCCAGGGCGGACTCTTCTCCGTGTTCCGGGAAGGCCGAGGACAATTAGCCCAGCACTGTGTCCTGTGCAAGGTCTGCCTTTCCCTAGGACACCAACGCCCATCACCGTCCAGTGACCAGGGCGCTGTGGGTCCCCAGGGGCCAGGGGGCGGGGTCTCTAGAGAAGCCGAGGCGGATCTGTCTTCAGAAGGCTCTCAGGCCGCATCCTACTGACCACTCACTGCCAGTCCCCAGCCAGCCTGGACGTCACCATGTGTGGCGGGAGGCAGGAGGCCCTGCCATTGTCAGCTCGGCAACCAAGGCTCATAGCTGGGGTCTTTCCTCGGGGGAAGCGAGGGGACTTGTTTCTATCTCCAATGTCCCCACACAAAGGGGTGCCTTCTGCCTGCTGATGGCATTCTGGTCCTTAGGGACACAGCATCTCTGAGAAAGTTCTGGATGGCCACCACCCGCCGGAGGATGTGCTCCTGAGGTCTGCCGCTTCTTCTGACAATGTTGGAGGTGGGAGGGTGGGCAGGGAGGACCCCGTCTGCTGTAACTTGCTGGTGAAACAGGCAGTTGCCTTCTTGGGACAGTTTCTGACCAAGGTGGCCGGGGGTCTGGCCAGTCAGTGTTCCCCACACCCTCTGTCTGTCCTGATTTGTTTTTGGTCTCGTTCTAGCCGTTGTTCTCTTGGCAATTGACAGAGCTATGTTAGTCTCCCTTTAATTTTTGTCAAATTTTGCTGCCATCATTTGAAACTTTTATGTGCATACACATGTGACAGTTTTCCTGGTGACTGGACCATTTTCACTATTGGAGTCCCAGGCAGAGAAACTTCCGGTCCCGACAGAATTCCTGTGGCGTGATGGGCGGGTCACAGCCACTTTTCCCATCCGGAAAGGGGGCAGCTCACACATTTTGTGGGCAGCTTATACAGTTTTGGGGCCTTCTATGAAAAAGGGTACGAAATACAAATCTAGAAGTAGGAGGGGCCCACCCACGCAAGGCAGCCTGAAGCCTCCTTGGGACACCAGGCAGGAGCCCGGGACTCCATCCCAGAAGGGCGCTCAGTACCCAGTTCTCTTGTGCGTGGCTTCCCAGAGGCATCCCGGTGACCCAGAGGGCACCGATGGGAAGAAGGGAGGTGACGGGCGGGCTCAGCAGGAATGAGCAGGGCGACCTGCCGAGCGTGCGACACAGGAACAGGCGCCCAGGACCTGGGGGGCTGTCGCCGTGACAAACCACCCCAGCCGTCTGTTTAGCTGTGGGCTCCGCGATGCAGGCAGCGCCTGGCTGGAGGGCCTGCCTCCAGGATGGGAGCTCAGGCCGGGCTGAGGCCTCAGTTCCGTCCGCGTGGCCCGGCTTCCTCGCGGTATGACAGCTGGCTTACGAAAGCGCGAGTCCGAGCGACAGGCCGAGCGGTGTAGCCTCAGAGTCCCGGAGCCTGATTTCCACGGCCCTCCATTCAGGCAGTCGAGAGGCCCACCCAGGTTCGCGGGAGAGCAGCAAGGGTGTTGCAGGGCAGGCGGGATGGGAAAATGTTTAGGAAACACCTGCCCCAGTCAGTGTTGACGGCGTGCCCTGGCCATGACACCTGCCACACAATCTTACCTGTTTTCCAGTTTCCTGTAAGGTTAATAGAGGTGACGGAGACAGCCAGCCAGGCAGATTGAGGGAGCTCAGGGGACACGCACATGCCACGGGGGTCGCTGCCATATCCTCAGCGCCGTCCACCTGCGCCCATGGCCTTTGGCTCTCAACTGTGACGAGTGTCTCAAAAAAGCACTCTCAAGTGGGAAGGGACAAACCACTGACACAGCCTTCCTCCACGGCCCTCACCGGGGGCAGATGGAGTGTGATTCTCTGAGATGGCTGCTGGGAGGAACATACTGAAAAGAAAACTTTTAGAACAGAGGTTCTTTTTGTAAATGTATGAAGTCAGCTACTGCTTTCTCAGCTCCTTATCTGTCCAGAGTCCCCGAGAGTCAGAGGACAGGCCTCTAAGCTCGCTGACGGTCGCTGCCGAGAATTCGCCCAGCTCAGGGCACCCAGGCGGAGTGGCTTGAACGCAGCTAAAAATACTCTGTGGTCACGACCTCATCTATTGCTGTTGGTGTGAGAGATGGGCCAGAAGTCTACAGGGGCCCCCGAGAGCTTAAACACGCACATCAGAACGACATTTTGATTAAGGGGGGCGAGAAGCGAGGTCCCGATCTTAAAGGCGGCAAATCCTGTCTGGCAGCCCTACGTTCTCTCCTCCTGGTCTGTCATCTCTCCCTTTTCCTCCCCAAGGCGCAAACTCATCATTAGATGAGAGGAGAATCACCCAGAACCTTCTTCACCCCCATCCCTTGTAAACCCTGGTGAAGTGAGTTTAGCCTGAGACCCGCTGCCGGCCTGATGTGGTCCTCCTAACACTGTCCCATGGGACATCTGATTCAGACCTTTCTGGGAGGAAAGAAATCTCCAAAAGGGCTTAAAGGAAAAAATAAATACACACTGGCTTAGCCAAGCTGCTAATGTTACAGCTAAGAGTCCCAATTTGGATCCCACCAAGTTCAAAGGAGAGGCTATAGCACTCTGGGGACGCACACACATATGGACGCACACACCCGTGGCCTGCACGGGGCCATGAGGAGCCGCTGTCCAGATCGGCAGCAGGGTGGCGGCTAGGCCCACATCCCTGAGGGACAGGACAGCTCTTCCTGCAGACAAACACCACCTCTGAGTGGTCCTGAGTCCCAGGAACTTCCCCCTTCTCGGGCAGACGCCCCCTCCCGAGCTGTGGCCCAGGAAGCCCACGCGGAACCTGAGGCTGCCAAGCTGTGGGGCTGAAGCCCAGACGGTCTGCTCTGCTCGACCCCGGGCTTCTGGGTCTCTCAGGAAAGCACTGGCAAATCTGAGAGGAGGGAGGCGCTTGGGCGGCCGGAGACCCGCTCTGCCTGGGTCCTGGGGTGACATCTTCACTCAAGACTCCCTGGAGGTCCCAGGGGCCGGGTGGGTGGTCGGCACCCGGGCGACGATGCCAATGTAAACAAAGCCTGGAGCTGCTGGGGCTCCGCCGACTTGTTTGTGTAGAGGGTGCGTCCCCAGCAGGAATATTTTCATCCTGTGAGGACGGAGGACCAGGGTTTCCAGAGGCAGCTCATGAACCTGAGCTCAGCCGTCAGCCTGCCTGTCAGTGGGGCCTGTGCCCCTGCCTGCCTGCCTGCCCCCCACCCCAGCCTGCTCCCTGTGGGGGTGGCTGAACACAGAGGAACCTGGTCCCAAGGCAACCCAAGGAAATTGTCAATTTATGGCTCTCAGAACGACAGGCTGGGAACAGAACAATCCAGGAAACACCTCCTGCTTTGCCTTAAAGGGCTGTGGCTGAGAGCTGCCGGAATCCACGTGAGTGACTGGAGGAGTGGCCAACAGGCCCCTTCCCTTCCAGCACCGGCCGGCGGCACCTTGATTAATGAGGACCCAGAATAACAGGTTTATTTTTAAACTCGGCTTCTTGGGTAAAGAAGCAAATGAAAACACTTATGTCAGGGGTTAATTTAAAAAGCAATTTCCGGGCCGGCCGAGTGGCGTGTTGGTTAGGAGCTGGCTTGGGACGCCTGAGGGCCCTGGTTCAGATCCCACATGTGAGGGCCAGTGACACTGCCCTCCACAGCTAAGATGCTGAACAACAGCTCAACCTGGAGCTGGGCTGCCGTGAGTCGCCGGCG